AAACCATATCAAGATCATATTTTTGTGTTTGTGTTGTTCATTGTTGGGTTCTCCAGATATCGCCTATGAAACGAGCACAAAGTTTCACTTTTAAATCACGTTTTCAATTAAGCGATCTCGAAATTTTGCGTGTTTTTGATCCTTTTGACGTCTAGTTTTTGAAAACCAAAGTATTTTTTGACAAAATATTAACAGGTTATCTTATTCCTGTGGTCTGTTGATCGCTTTCTTTCAAATTCTTTGGGCAATCATCGGATGAAAAACTTTTCTGGTGTCATTATTTCAGCGGCCATTGAAACTTCACGGGCCGGCTTACGAGTGACGTCATAATGGCCAAGATCATCGGGCGCGCAATTGCATGGCTACGCAAGCGAATTTGACCTCTCCCTCCTGACCATAACAAATGAGCAATATCAAAGGAGGCTATAAATCAAGGCTGTATGTCTCTGTCAGCCTTTTAGCTGGAGTATGGCCGCCATCATGCGCGACTCCGTGGTCGCCGCCGTCGTCGTGCGTACGCGCCCACGAGCAACACCGCTAGCTATGATAACCAAGAGAAAATCAATTCATGGGTTTCCTTTTCCTGTCTTCATGGGTATGGGGCTCCACTTGGCGGTCCTTCGGGACGCCGGACCTCCGCTATACCTTACCTTTGTTGCAGCTTAGAGGAAAACTTGCTTAATCACGGTTTTAGGCTAACTAGTGTAAACATTTCTGTAGGTCGATGACCGAGACAGTCTGAGATAGGGATTAATATCTCATTTATTGTATTCTTACCTTGCTACAGTTAACCGTCAAAGCTTTCCCTGTTGCCTTTAGAACAAAAGGCACAGAGGCCGCATCTGGGATGATTGAACAGAAATCCACCGCATCTAGAATCCGGTTGTAAACAAGTCCATCTCCAAAGCTTGTATTCTGCACGGTGGTATTTTCAATTACGACATGCCCTCCAGAACTCTCAATATTTGCACCAGCCAACGCTGATCGCAAGATGGTCGTATCCATTATTGCTAGTTGATTTTCAAGTTCTTTCACCAGCAGGCCTGAAGCTCCATCTCTAATTGTAACATTTAGTAAATCTGGTACCTTCTTAAGTGCTTTGATCCCTTCAAAAGCATTCACTATATCTGCATTCTCCAAGGATGAGTTTCCTTGTTTCTCGGTAAAATTTGTCGGTCCGAAGTAAATACCTTTCCAGAAAACCGTCTCAGTCAAGAAAGGCATCAGGATGTCACACTCAATTCCAACGTCGTAGGAATGATCTGTCAGTGTCGAGGTTCATCGATTTTCAAACAATGTAATAGGAAAAACAGAACAATTTTCCGATTAGTGAAGTTTTACAAGTAGGTTTCTTTTCATTACACCCGCTTTCAGCGTTACGTGCATAGCAACTATCTTTCGACATGTCATCTTTCGACATGCTATGTAACCTGGCCTACGTTGAAATGTAAGCACAACGGACTTCTTTACGGTCAGACTCAACTTTTAGTCAGGAAAGATGGATTTATTTGACATCAAACTGAGGTTAGGAGATCAAGAAGACATTCTATGAGAGATAAATCGACTGTTTTGAATGTTTACATCTTTCGAATATTAACTGAGCAGTAGCGGCCCAATTCTACCGGAAGTCACTATTGAGAGCCAATCGACTACACTAATATAAAATCATTTGAATTATCCCGTAAATCGGGAGTCTACAATCTTTTTCATTCATTTTAGGGCAGTAATTATCATATACTTTTCATTTGTTCCCCTGATAACCGGAAAAATTGTCAGTTTCACAGGTAAACGGTCTTTCAGCCGTTCACATGGCATGTCGAAAGATGGAACGTCGAGAGATGGTCGAAAGATGTCGCCTATGCACGTAACACTGAAAGCGGGTGTAAATGATAAAAATAAACCATATTTCTAAAAGCCAAACTAACAATACGGAGAGTTTTAAATATATCTCACTCAAACAAAGGTTATGACTTCTGGGAGGGCTCTAAGAGAAAACGCTGGACTGGCTAGAAAACCAATTAGTCTCGTTACGAGCTATAACCTTGGTTTGTGTTCATTTTTCCGTACCTCACCAATATTGCAGGTTTATTATTCAATTCATTTCAACTGGTTGTAAATCAGGACTTGTGGAAGATTTATATTATCTCAAAGAATTGACAAGGCATTTTATTGTTGCTTAAACCATGTACGGTTTAGTTGATCTTTGGTGATGTCCTGGAAAAACTCAAGGCACTCGTAAAGAACTAGGAGGACATTGCATGAACTTTTCTAAGAACAGATTATCAATCTAATTATAAGAGGGAGGTTTTCCGTTCAAAAGACCAATTTTGATATATTAAAATTCAGTCCAACACAATAGACCTCAGTACAAGGCTCTGGGGAACAAAGCCGACACACTCTGTAGTTTTTCCCCAGAGCCTCGTCCTGAGGTCTATTGTTTTAGGCTGAATTTTAATATATCGAAATTGGTCTACTAGCCGTTTACGAAAGAAAAAAATCTTATTTGGTATATCACCATTTCGAGGCTGAAAAATAAGAACACAGCAATTCATTTACGTGTTTAATATTTGACTTCGATCGTGGGCTGTTCTGCAAGCTACCACTGTTTTGTGCGTCACGATCTTCTGATCTTTTCTTTGTTAATTTCACGTTTAATTCGAAAAGCTTCAAACATGCAGCAACAACAAACAGAATGAGGTAAATATTTCCTAACTTTTTGAGTTTCTTCATTTTAGCGGAAGATAATGTGGCTTTTGAAAGTGACTATCAACACCAGTTCCTAAAGGTTAAGACTAAAGATAACTCACAGCACGAACGCCAATTGTAGCCACAATCCCAGAGACTTTCTTCCTTTCCATTACAGCTCACATCCCTCATGTAGACGGGGCCACTTCCGGGATATGTGTAATACCTCTTAGCTCCGAGGAAGCCAAGTTGTCTACAAGCCACTGCAGTGTCTCTGTAATCCCAATAGTAGTTACATATAGTTCCCCACTGTCCCTTCCATTTTAGCTCCAAGCGACCGTTGCTGGGAGAGGTGCCACCAGCAAGCCTAATCCCAGGGTTGTAGAATCTGTATAGGTTGGTGTTGTTGCAAAGAACTGTTTCATTACAAGGAAGTGCACGAAACGTTATTCTATTTGAATGCGTTCCCCTTGCGTGTAAAGATCCGTGAACACGAAGCCCTACGGTTGGAACGAAAAGCACTTCACTCCCTGCTTCTATGGTAAGAGTTGCATTGTGGGTAACAACCAAGTCACTTGTCACCAGGTATGGACCATCTGCGGGATTGAAGGTGCGGTTACCAATGACAGTGCCGTTCACTTCCTGGAAAGATTTTCTCAAGTTGGCACAACTTCCATAGGTCAAACAGAAGAGCGAAAATATCCACAGCTTTGCAAGCATTGCTGTGAATTGGCTCCAAAACGGTGCCTACACCGACAGGTAGCTGTTACACTTGTTTTCAATCAACTCTGAAATACCAAACGGTGATTAACAGTTATCCCATGTGCCTATTTTGTTAAAATCATTTACGGTAGTCTCCAACCGCGGCGAACGGGATATGAGTTCTAGTAAACCCTTCTTATAAATTTAACTATACATCGATTGAGTGACCTTCGGGCAAAAAATGGCTACCAAGGCGATGAGCTGGTCTTTCGCGTTTGGAGTCGAATAAAAATTCCTAAAACTAAAGTTTACTTTAGTCTTTAAAAAGACTATTTGGTATAGAACAAAGTTGGGTGAGTTCGATCTATCGATAGCTTTGACAGCGGCTTTTAGACGAACCGTTGCCACAAATAATATGTGAGGGTTTGACGCTGAAAGAGTGTTATTATTCAGCGAATTATTCTTCTTCAAGCTCTCATACTATCTCATTACAGTATTTTTATGCACGGCTTGGACGTTTATATTATCCAACGCTATATAAATGCAACTATCCTTTATAGCTAGCGCTCGGGAGAGAAAAAAAAAAGAAGCTTCGAACACCAGGATGATTCAAACCCGTGACCTTCAGCTTAACACATCTGTAGTCTTACCACTCATGTACTGCCCTACTTTATACTGCAAAGTCACATTTTTAGTTGAAAGAAAACAAATTCCGGCCAAAAATTTTACTTTACTGTTTTTGTTATGTTCTTAATCAAGCTACGATGGCCTAAAAACAAGAGTTAATATGATCTTTGATAAATGTTTAGGCCAAACCACTAAATTTGAGGCTCATTGCTTCAAGGCTTGGACTCAAAACCAGCTAAAAGCCGCCCAAACGCCTTTGACGGCCCCTTCCCCGGAGAATAGGGTTAAAAAATGTGTAGAAAGATCCTTTAATTACGAAGCTCAGTGAGAAAGAGCTCCAGGTTCATTTTTTGTTTTCTCCCTCGCTTTATCGTTGGCGTGAAAGCTGCTATTTAGGTAGCCGTAGGGCTGCTGTCTGTTATTACTGATATCCGACTTGGATTTTTTTTCTCGGTTCTATTTCTGTACAACACTATTGCATATTAAACTCTAGTTAGTGGTAATAGATACCAGAATAATCAAAAAAAAAAAGTTTCAGAAATCTCAGAAATAAGGTTTTAGTAATGTTTACCCTTGCTCTTTTCTTCGAAACCTCACGGAGTGAATGAGTGAGTCACACAATTGCAGAGGTCCTGACCCTTGGAAAAAATTTCGCATTGGAAACTGAGTGATTGATTCCCAGAATTGAAGACATGACAAGTTGCTGTTTTTGCTCAAGTTTTGACTGAGAGTCACCTCTTAGCAGCCCATTATGCAGGATCGATTGTTTATCTGCTCGCTTTCGCAGCTCACTGTATGGAAACAGACACTACCTCCACTTGATTTACTAGAAACAGTGATGGTGCTGCAACCACGAATCCTTACCGCGATGTGCATTCATATCTCATTTTCTATTCT